TCACAGCCAGGAAGCAATGAAAGAGGTCTATAGACTGGGGACAAAATATAATCTGCCTAGGCTTGCCCCCAATAACCTCCTTCCACCAGCCACACCCTACTTGACTATTGGAAGTACCTAGTCAATCTATATCAGTGATTTAACACACTGATTAGCTTATACCTCTCATAATCTAGTCCTTTCATGTCTGAAAATTCTTGCCTGGTCTCTCACATGAGCTAGGAGGGACACCTCGTTTCCAAATCATAACAATGTCTCTCATTCTTTTGACTTGAACTAAGAGTCAAAAGAACAAAGGTGTCAGGTAGGTAGTGGTAGCATGAATATCATAAGGCCCTAAACTGGTCAACACAGGTCTTTTGACTGGTCTCTTATTCAAAATTGAAATTGCATAGACATGATATCATAGTGGATGCAGAACTTATTTTGTGCCAAAGTGCATAAAATAAATTGTGCAAGACTATGACTAATTTACAAAAGCCAAAGTGAAAACATTCAAAATATAAAAAATTGCTAAAAATGTGCAACAGTCTCTTGACAGTGGAGTGGGAATTGACATTTCATAACATGCATGACCATTTCTACTGTAGCTATATATACAAATGCCTCATTAGTTAGTTTCTTTTTTTAGATTCATACTCCACAGAATTACACTCAGAAATACTCCAATACATGCAAACATTTTCATTGTTGCTTTATTTGTAATAGCATACAATTGGAAACAACTCAATTTTTTAAAAAAATTATTATGTCAAGACAACAAGCTTTTCTTTAAAATGTCAGGTAGCATGTATGTTAGAGTTTGCAATCCTGAATTCTAAGTCAAAGCCACTGAGGTTTACCCTTCTGTCATATAAAGAGAAATATATTAAAAACTTCATTTTTATGTTTCAAAAAATGAATGTGCCATATTGTGCTGACCTTAGTTTCAATTTAATAAATAACATTATGATATGTTTTAGAGTGGAATGTTACACAGATATGAGAGCGAATGAATTACCTGCATAATAACCACATCAGGATATATCACCAAAATAATGTATGTAAAGTGGAAGAACCAAAAGAATAAATACATAAAATAGTGTAAAGACTATATGACTACAACACAGATAAAAAATAGAAAATTGATTGCCAATTCATGATGAATTGGCAGAGATTACAAGATGATAATGATTTCCTTTATTGAACAAGTTCTGGGTAAACCGAATTTATGAGAAAAAACAAAAACTCAATAGCAAAGCTTACAAATATCCCCATAAAAATGAACAATAGACCTAAGTAGATGTTTCTGAAAATAAGATGAATGCTCAATAGTATGTGACAAAATACTCAACCTCACTAATCATGTAAGAAATGCAAAGTAAAACATCACCTCACCTCAGTAGATATGATGGTGAGCAACAAGACAAAATAAATAATTGTTGGTGAGGATATGGAAGCAATGGAACATTTGCACACTATTGGCGAAATTGGAAATTTATGCAGACATTATGAAAATGTGTATGAGTCTTCCTTAAAAAATTAAAAATAGAGCTATCATGGGATCTAACAACCCCTTTTTTGAGTATATAATCAGAGGATATGAAATGATAGTATTAAAGGGTATGTGAATTCATGTGTTCATTGCAGTCCTATTCACAACAAATACAAACCACCTAAATGTCCATCAACTGACAATAATTTGAGTAACCACATTATTTTGCATATGTATAATGGACTACTAGTCAGCCATTTGTGACAAAGTGAATATATTAGGAGATCATTATGTTAAGTGAGATAAGCCAAGAGCTGAGCAAATACCAGATGATCTCACTCACATGTTCTGTCCTTAAAAAGTTGTTCTCACGAATATTTAGACTACATTGCTGGTTAGGAGTAGTGGGGAGAGTATAGGGTTGTGAGAGAAAGGGAAAGTTTTATCAATGGGTACTCAGTTACACTTACATGTGAGAAAGAGTTTCCTTGTGCTATAGCACATCATGGTGAATAAAGAGATAACAATCTTGTACTCCACATTTCAAAATCTAGAAAAAAAAAAAGAGACTTTGGAATTATTCCTGAAAAGAAAGGATAAAATCTTTTAGAAACAGATATATTTATCATGATGTAAAAAAGTACATAATTCATGTATATATCAAAACATTATAGGTACTACATTAATAAGTAAACTTTTGTGGTTTTATATGCCATTTAAAATTAACTAAAAACAAAATGTATTCATAAACCTATGTCATTTTTGGTGACTACACTCAACATGAAGCACAGCAGATCTCTTCAACTTAGACTTCCTCTAAGTCGTTTTGCCTGCTCTGATCATCATCTCTGCAATCTCTGCTCCCCAAGCACCTACGTCACCACCTCCATTCAACTCTCTGGTTCTCAGTTCGCATTTTTAAATTGCACTTATGAGTGCTATCATGATGTGTTTTTCCTTCTTTTCCTGACATGTCACCTACTCTAATGTCCTGCAAGTTCTTTCACATTGGCACAAATGACAGGATATGCCAGGTTCTATGTATCTATTCAGTTGTTGAGGTACAGTTAGGCTTATCCCATGCCCTCACTATTATAAAGCTTGCTGAAATGTGCATGGCGGTACAGGTACATCAACATATTGATTAATTTCCTTTGGACACATATCTAGTAGGTGATTGCTGCATGCTATGGTAGTTCTAATTTTAATCATCTGGGGAGCCACCATGTTCTTTTACATGATGACTGAATTAATTTATATTCTTTTTATATTTATATAAAAGTGTTCAAAGTTTAATTTTCTCCACATCTTGACCAATGCTTTTTTTTTTTTTCTTTCACCTTTTGGTGACATCATTCCACAAAAGTGAAGAGATATCACATTGTGCCTTTAATTTGTTTTTCTCTGGCAACTAACAACCTTGAGCACTTATCTCACCTAACTGTCCATTTTTATGCCTTCAGAAATGTGTGCTCATGTTTTACCAATTTTTAAATTAGATTCTTAGTTTTCATTCATAGAGCTTTTGAGTTCTCTGTATGCTTTGGATATTAATCCTTTATGGTTTGATAATACTCTTTGTCATTCTGTAGGTTGTTTATTCACTCTATTGATCACTTCATAGCTCTGAGTTGGAATTAATCTATTCTATAATTCTTTGAGGTGGCTTTATTTATTTTTAAATAAAGGTATCATCAGAGATGCATGGTTTTCCAAAAGCTAGGAGGCTATCCTGGGGAATCCATTCATGCTCAATGGTATTATTAAAGAATTCTGTTCTTTGAGGACATAAACTATGGTTTCTGATTTCTCAATGAATGTCAGTTAAATGCCACCGGTGGCTTCTCAAAGTCACCACTTGGGCATGTGATCCCACTCCTGGAAAGGCAGCAAAGACAAATTGGGTTCTTCTTATCCCTATATTTTCCTTCCTGTTTCATCATTGCATCTCTGAAATACACTGCTTTCTTCTTTCTATATTTTAGGGCTCATGTCATCAATTGTGTTACCTGGATAATTATAAGGAAAATAAAAAAGGAGACACAGAGACAAGATGCAGAGGCAGGAAAGATGGCTGTTTTTCCAAGTGGCCACCTTTATTTAAACCAATAGGTTACATTAGGTCATTGGTACCATAACTACATTATTGTTTATTGTTTCAGTAAGGTTACTTATTCTACAGTTACATTCTATAGTTACAAAATGCAAAGTTAGTAGTTTGTGCAGCTCTCAAGAAAGTCCATTGCCTCAAGTGACTCTGAACATAAGAAGTTACTGTGGGCAGGTCCAGGAGCAGCAGGCTTGGTGAAACATTGTAGTTATCTGGCAAGCAAGTTCCTTTATCCCAGGAGCTGTATGCCTGAGATCAATGACAAGCCCCTCAGAGCCTCTTCATGCAGGGCATTGCAACAGCAGCTCGACAATGCACATATATTAGTCATCTTACTGGTTCTAAGAGAAATTGCAGAGCATCCTAAGCATGGAAAACAGGGTGCCTGTTATTCCATAGGAGTTTGCTCACCAAAGGAATGCTTCCCTCTATATTTCAACGATCAGAATCCCTACACATAATCTTCTAGTCTCATACCTGATACCTGGTGTGCCTGTGCAAAGTTTTATTTATTATATAATTATTGAATTCACAAGTTACATGAATTAGGACCAGGTGATATCTGGGGGACCATTAGTCTATCACAATGTCTCATTGAAATGGAATGATTACTACTTTAAATGCTTTATTTGATCATATCTTTAAATGTTAAAATCATTAACTAATGTATCATATGATATTGCATTCCAGGCAGTCATGGCTTACCTAGGACTAAATTCTAAAGAGTTCATAGTAATCAATGACTTTATATGTTTAGTAGAGTAAATAACTTACCAGGCAAGAGAGTTGAATTTTAAGTACTTGCATAAGTTTTAAGGAAGAAATTAAATATGCATAAGCCTCCCTTTTGATATTGTCTCTGGAGTAATTCTATGCTGACAGACAGTGAGTTAAATATGCTAACAGTATTTAGCAATGCTACAAAATCTCTAGAGTTTGCCAAGAGTTTGAGGTAGGGAACAGCAGTATGCACTTATATTTTCACTCATTTAATCACTCACTCAATAAATATATGATATTCAACCAAAATTGGCAAGTCTATGTATTAAGTATCAAAGGAGAAAACTAACAACTATAGCTGTAAATACATACAAATTATTTAGGTAAATGATGTGCAAGTTTATTTCTGTTGCAAGTCATAGTATTGGATTCTGTACATTATTCAAGGGATATATAATGTACATTGCAATTTTATTGATGAGAACATACTTTCCCTTAGATATGTAATAATGAAAATAAATTGTTTTGCCTAAGATACATCCAAGCTGAGTAAATTTCAGGCTAGTGTTCTGAAGTAAAACAAATAGATATTAATATGGAAGTGATTAGCATCTCAAGGGGAAATGTAAGATCTGAAATATTTCTCTGATAACCGTGGGACCAGCAATGCAAACATTCATACACAAATATGTGATACTATGTTTTAAGCATGAATCTTTTCAGAGCAGCAATCACATCCCTATTCCTAAGGCTGTATATCATGGGATTAAACATAGGAGTCACTATGGTGTATAAAAGAGAGAGCACTTTGTCAGTTCCTGCAGAATGGTTGGATTTGGGCCTAAGGTAGGTAATGGAAGCTGATCCAAAAAATAAAATCACAACCAGCAGGTGGGAGGAGCAAGTGGAGAATGCCTTAGCCCTTCCTTGGGCTGTTGGCAACCTCAGAATCGTGAGTCCAATTTTGCTATAAGAGGCAAGTATTAACATAAAAGGGACTACAGCAAATAACACAGCTACTATATAGACAGACACCTCATGCACAAAAGTTTCCCCACAGGCTAGCTTGAGAATGGGGGGTATGTCACAGAAGAAGTGGTTGATTCGGTTAGAATGACAGAAATGCAGAGAGAATATTTGCCATGTTTGTCCTATCTGGACTGGCATTCCCCCAAGCCAGGAGCCAGCTGCCAGTTGATGGCACTTCTTTGGGTTCATGACTAGAGGATAGTGCAGAGGGTTACGGATGGCCACATAACGGTCGTAAGACATCACAGCCAGGAGGAAACATTCTGTTGCTCCAAACATAAGGAAAAAATACATTTGTGTGGCACAGCTCAGTAGGGAGATGCTCCTATCCTGAGTCCAAAGGCTGACCAGAATCCTCGGGAGAGTGACTGAAACATAACAGATTTCCAGTGAAGAAAAATGTCCCAGGAAAAAGTACATGGGTTTGTGCAGTGCAGGGTCCAGCCTGGTTATTATGATTATGAGGAAGTTCCCAATGAGGATAACTATGTAAATGATGGAGAACACCCCAGATAGGAAACCTTGGATATTTGGAAATTCAGAAAATCCCAGCAAGACGAACCGTACCACTGTGGAGACATTGTCTTCTACTACTATCTCTTCATGCTTCATCTATGGGGAAGAGTCAATCAGAAGTAGAAAATTAACTACATTTTCCTTTTGTTTTCTTATGTGTACACTGAAGATGGCCTGATTTCAAATTTCCCACTTACCTTTAAGATAAAGACCTATGTCTTCTATTTGGTCTGAAATTGTCATAAATATTTTTTAAAAAATATTCCTAAGCATATCTACATGAAAGTTGTATTTTTGTTTCTGCTGAAGGTTATTACACATTTTTTTTTCTGTTTCTGTGATGAGGCATGTCACATTAATTCTCATTTGAACAGTCTAGGTCTAAGTGGAGCAAAAATTCTACTCTTCCTGTTTATATTTTTCTGCTCTCCCAACATTGTTTTGTGTACAATAATCAACTCAAAATTACCTTAAATTTATGAGAATATGTTCTTTAAGACATTTCTAATAAATTTAGGGAAGAGTGCATTGAATCTTTGAAATTGTTTTTTGTATTTTCCCAAGATCAATTTAGCTTTTATATTCTGTAAAATATATTAAAAAATAATGATTAACTGTCTATGAACTACAATGCAATACTATTTAATCTTTAAAATTGTATATTCATTTAACTATAAGTTTATGAATCAGAAGTCACAGATTTTGTTCATATTTTCTAGTACAATTGACATTCAGAAGGATACTGAGGATCTCAAGAAGGAGGAGGGACACTTAACATGATTTTCCTATAGAAGGAAGCTCAATAGTCAAGAAACAATTCATTTACATCTGCAGTAGGAAACAGGTAATAGCTACATTATGCACCTCTTTATTCTGAATGCAGATCTATGCATATATAAGACATTTAGCACATCTCTCCTCCTGGACATTTTCCTAGATCACTCATATCCTCAGGAATGACTGCTATTCTCTGAGTTAATTTGCTCCATTCAGTCTCTTCCCTTACTTTTATGTGTGTGTTCATGCATGTGTGTGTTTGTATGCTATTATTTGTTTACATTATGAATGAATTCCTTTTATTTCTAGACCTATGAAACATATCATATTTGATACTATAAACACTATTTTATATGTGGTAGAGTATCTTTTTCCAAAAATTTTCATTGGCTGTATTTTTGGATTAATTACAAATGAGTCAAATAATTGAATTAATGACAAAGATTTAAGTACAGATTCCTGGATTTCTGAGTTTCTAAGCATGCCGTGTGTGTGTGTTTGTGTGTGTGTGTGTGTATAAATGTGTTTGTACTTGTGGTGGGTATGTGGGAATTATTATATCTCATTCACTCTTTCAGAAGAAGTTTATCATCTCATTATTTGCTAAATAATTTCCATATAAGTAATAAATAATTTAAATACAAAAATGTATTAAGGTTGTATACCTCTAATCTTATTCTATGACTGTTAAGTTTGCATGGGTGTCAAGATTTCAGCTTCAAAAACAGTTGCAAATGGGGAAAGATCAACAGTCCATGCTGAACTTGGTCATCCTGTGCATTTTTGTAACAGAACATGGCAAAGTTACATAAGAATTTCTTGCTACATCTACAATATTCTACCAAATATTGGAGTCTTAAAGGTATTTCAAACTTCTTCAATAACTATAAAATCACTCTAAATGAGAATTTGATATTTCAATGTTAGAGGTGTAACTGAGACTTTACAATGACACAAACTATCTTATAAGATAGAGGTGACTCTACTGTGATTATAAGGATATGAAACACTACCATAGGTTATTTTATGTTCCAACATAAAAAATTATAAACTCTTATTCTTGTATCTAACTAAGCTGAGAACTTAATACATGGGCACTTGTAAAAGCCATTGATTGAATCAAAAATTTACTGTGCCTATCATATATTTTGACCATATTTGATTATCAGACCCTAGCCTTTAGAAATTGCCAACTTCTTCCATCTGTTTCCTATACCATCTCACTTATTTTTCATGCTTTTTGCCCATTGTAATCTCCTTTTTGTAATCATTTCCCTCTAACCAAGTAGGAGGGTACCTTTATAAAGGAAATTACAATCAAGCTTTCAAAGTGTAATGAGGAACAAAAAAAACTGTGAACACAACTTGTGCTCTACCTATATCTACTGAAATGAAACCTTTCTTTTCCATTTCTTTTCTTTTTCAGAGGTGAGAGTCTAAAATTTCATTTGTAAAGTGAACCAGCAATTTTATGAATATTTAATGTAATTCTCTATGTCTAAATACATATAAAGGAACGAATATTATAATCCCTCCTACTTAGAGGGCTGAGGCGAGAGGTTGAATATTTTGAGATCAGTGTGGAAAAATTAGCAACATCTTATCTCAAAATAGAAAGGAATAAAGCCCTGGGTGTTTAGCTCAGTAGCTGAGAACCCCTGGATTCAAGACTCAATACCTAAAAGTAGAGAAATGATATAATTACTTACAATTATTCAAATTGTTCTTAAATTCTAGACACAATTGGGCATACCAAATTTATTCAAGTCACCCAATATTCTTGCTTATTTCTCAGACTTTGGGAAATCTTTAGAAATTTCTATTTATACTGGTAAGTGAGAAAGTGATTAGTAATTCAGTTAGACATAGCTACCTTTTTGTTGTTGTTGTTGTTGTTGTTGTTTCATATACTTCTTGTTTATTTAACTGTTATCCCCCTTTTATCAATGAAACAATTATTTCATTTTGTGTAAATATTGTGCAATTATTCAGAGCTTCTCTCATACGTATTATATTTATAATAAGTTAATGGAACCACTTTAAAACTAAGAAATAAAAGATACAAGGGTACAGAAGTCAGAAAGATGTCCTTCTAACAGAAATCACTAAATATAGATAGATAGATAGATAGATAGATAGATAGATAGATAGATAGATAGATATAGATATAAACATGCTAACATTTCTCTAGCAGTTTTAGATTCATTTTTCATGAATTTGACCTTAAAAAACAGGAAACTTTTTTATAGTACTAGGATGCCATTTTAATACTCTGTATTAAATATTTTGTTCACCTGTATATATAATTAGGTTTGCAACAGATAAGATGTCTAGATTTTTTTGATTTAAATAGTTAAATACATGCTTATCACGTAATTATTTGGCAAATATTAGCACATAAGAAGATGATGATAATATTTTAATGCTGCCTCTTTTTATTGAAAACGATTTTTCATTTTGCTCTCAGTTCACCTAAAAATGGCAAAAGTCATAAGAATACAAATGTAATCTGAAAGAATATCTTGGAATTGAAAAAGTAACCAAAGTAAACAAAGGATTCCTTTTAAATTTTAAATATTACTGCTCATGTTCTTAAAGATAAAAGTAGACAATAAAAAACATTCTGCATTTGTCAAACTTCTCTGTGCTTATCTATTTCAGAATTAGGTTAATCATAATTCTTACCCCTTTAATGATTGGTAAAATACACAAAATAATAAAGAAGTGTGTCCTTTTTATATTTTAGGAATTTATCTTCATTTGTAACAGAGGGTAAGCCTTGCCTTATATATATTCTACTCTTAGGAAGAAAAAAATGCAGTGCTCCTGAGGTAGAAAATATTGTCTGTCCTGGGGATAAGTATTTTCCCAGGTAACTTACTAATTGAGGAAAGCATTTTCATTTTATTCAAGGAGTTTAACATAACATACTAATACATGCCTGGCTATACGACCCCTTCTATTCTCAGTCTCTCTACCTTTCTGTGCTTGTTAATAAATACAAACATTGAAAAAACTACAATTTATAACTGCATAGCAGTTGTGATACAAATGAATATATTCTATCAATATTCAGGACATCAAATAGAAAAAAGTTTGTGTCATTAAAAGTTCTCAAGAGGTTCAAGTCTCTTCAGATGTTCCCATTATCTTCAACATTATTCTGCCACCTATCAGTCTACATTGGTGGGTTCAATCTCGTCATCCTCCATTTAGAAAGAAGGAGAAGTGGAATAAAGACTAATATTCACTTTTCCTTTTCAGGTGCACAAACTGGAAAAGTCACGCAGACTTTCCAGAAATAATGCCCAATATAAAATTTAGTGACAGCACTATAGAAACCCGGTCAGGAAGCTATAAAATATAACTTCTAACTAGATGGCCATGTAACCAACTATGGTTCCATATTTTATCATTAATTTCCTTCACTTGTCGAAATTTAGAATGTTAAGAAGTTATTGCTTGATTTGTGATTCAAGGAGCTCCTCAAATTGAGTGTAAATTAATAAGATAGGTTTCTATAAGTTGCCCAATCATCCACACAAGCACACTTAGACACACTCACAGGTTCAAGGGAGACAATATAAGATGCAGCCACAGGAACCTGGAATGTATGTCAACAAATATAATAAATAATGATTATATAAATGGAAAATATACTTTAGAACTATGGCTTCCTAATTTCCAAACTTTGAAAACTATGATTATTTAAGGGTTACATATGTACTTACCTATTTTGAGTGATATTATTTGGGATTAATTTAATTTTAGCATTAAAATATACATGAAATATTATTTTTTTGTTGTTTTAAATTTAATTTGACTCTTGTACATTGTTTAATTAGGCCATGTCTTTCTCAGTTAGGGAGGTCTTCATATATTTTATGTATGTTTCCTTTGAGAGATATGTGCTTTGCCAATATTTTCAGGAGACTGTAGCCTATATTTTGCAGTTTCTTAACAATGTTAACACAAAACAAAATATTTAATATTGGTAAAGTATGATTTATAAAGATTTTTCTTTCAGGTTTGTGGTTTGGCTAACATTTATTGATAAATGCCTATACATGGTCACACATATTTTTTTCATACATGTTCTTCCAATAACTATGTATTTTAAACATTCTATAGCTAAGTAAATAATAAGTCAAGAATTTCTTAAAACAAGAAATTTAGTTTTAGGGTTTTCTGCATAGAAGTCCATTTTTTTAGTGAAAAGTCTTTTCATCCTCAAAAAACTATGTACAACTATGTTACACTAATGAAATGTTTATGAAAATTAAGCCAAACTAAATAAGAATAGTAAAAAATTCACTGTA